TTTTAAAATTATTTCTTTACTTAAAATTAAACTAGTTTAAACTTTATTAAGGGAGATTGTGCATTGTAATAATTAGACTTTGATTAAAAAAAAAAAAAATTGACATTTTTTTCCATCCAAATTCTTTCTAGTCCCCTCTTCGTTTCTTTCTTATTTCTCTTCCTCTTTCTTTATTATTATTTTTTTTTCAATTTTGTTCTTGTACGATTGCATTCTACATCACTTTTCCGCGTGTTTTCAAGCTGAATAATGATTTTAAAACTTTGAATGCCATATTAAGTTCACATCGAGTGTCAGCAAATAGCTAAAGAACAAACGGCTGTTCACAACACATTCTTCTATGACGAGTTGGAGAAGTAACTTTCAAAAGACATTGCTTATGTCTTCTTGGTATAATCTGTACAAGTGTTTTCATTTACTCAAGCTTTGCCCTAATCTTGGCGTTTGATACGAATATTGGAGATTCAACTCCTAAGTCTGCTAGACGGTATGGTACTACCCAAAATTGCCTTTGCCCTCAACTGATGCCGAAGCTTTTTACTCTTTTGTTGTATCCTTCACAGAGAAATTTTACCTTATACAATGTGATAATAAAAATGCGCAGGTGTAAGAGAAGTACAAAATGAATATTTGAGTCCTGTTAATTTGTCTTCCATTTTTCAGATACTAACATTGTTTAAAACAAATAAGATACCATAATCGCTCTAAAACCAGTTGTTGAAAATTCAAGGATCACATATTGGTCGATACCACTTGATATGAAACCAATCATCGGATTGACATGTTGAAGTTATATGACACAATAATGAAGTATTTGATCACAAGAAAAAGAATAAAAAAAGAAGAAAATATGGCACAGGAATTAGAAGATTTTATTACACCACAAATAATGAAGATAGAGAAATTATTACAATGATCCTAAAAACTAGTAATCACTTTTCTCAAATTATAAAATTGTATAGAAGAACTTAATATTTTACAGGGAATATGTAAGGGACGTTCAAACTCTCCTAGTAGAGTTGTTGATGAAATAGGATGTCAAAAAATCAAGTTCAAAACGAAAAAGTAGAGAATAACGCGAAAATCCCGAAACAGCAGCGCCACCTCCGGGGGCCCAGGGGCTAGCATTCTGTCTTATTTTTTTTTCTTTCGCTCCAAGTTGTTTTCTAAATTTCGAACTCTTTTTCAAATCCAATACCAATTTTCAACTTTCAATGGGCTTCCAAAATTGAATTTAAACTTGACATAAAACTCAAATAGCATTCTAAACTAAATTCTTCTTGACGTGCACTTCAATTAGAATTCTTCAATTACTTTAATAAGGAATTCGAGTCACACCCAAATTATAACAAACATATTGTTACAACATAATTTATTTGTAAATCATGTGGGTGCTTGATTGAGCAAATATTTCGATTTGGGATCTATATTTATGCTGTCAAATTTGGCTGCGCATATAAATATTTATTCACTTATGTTGCTTCAGATTGACCTTCTTGCAATTTAGTCTCGTCATATTATTTTCTAGTTGTCGTAAAGAATTGTTCATTCAATAACAACACGAGTTCTTGCATTTCGTTGTGATGCAGGTACAGTAGGTTATAGCACCCGGGATTTAGAAGTAAGTTGTTCAGTTCCACGACATATTTTTGTGAAACGATTGTCCCTAACTATTCTTTTATACAGAAAATAGATGTCAATTGGGGTTTAGTACAAGATATCAACAAATCTTATTAAAAAAAATTAGTTTTTGATTTTGAAAATTATCATGCAGAATAGAAACAAATGATTTCTATATCTATGTATCCTTTCACAACTTCATCACAATGACTTCATCTCGAACAATAATATAATACAACATAAACCTTAAACCTTTCTTGTGTAAATTTCGAGCTAATTAAGATTTTGGGGCAGCAGCCTCAGTCTCGGCTGTGGGTTTCTCAACAGTTTCTACCACCTCTTTCTTCTCTTCCTTGGTTAGCTCAACACCCTCATCTGTGGCTTCCGTAGGTTTAGGTGCCTCGGCCGGGACAACTTCTTCAACAGCTACTTTTGGTTCAGTTTTTGTTACTTCTTCCTCCACCTTTGGCGCTTCTGGAATTGCTGGTTCGGAAATATCTTTCAAAGGCTCTTCCTTCATATTCTCAACTTCATCTTCCTTCTCCTGAAATTGACAATCACAAGAAAATCAAATCATATACTTAGATCTATATCGGTGATGCCATACAGGCCAAAACATGGCATACATATTTTTCCATAAAAACCACGAGGATATCCTAACAGGGATAATATTGCAACAACACACGATTGTCAATGTATATATAAATAAAGTGATTACTTGGGGAATGGTCTCTGGCACGCCCGGGGATTCGGAAGGGGCCGGAGCTGGTGCCGGTGCAGGTTCCGGCTGTTTATCCAAATCCAAGTTCTTAGGTCTGCTAGCACAGGCTCCCATGATATCTCAAGATTGGTGGGACGATTGAGCGAGGAAAGAGTTGGATGGATGAAGATGAGAAACTTGCAATGGAAATGAGACAATACAAGAATTTATATAGAGTTTGTTGGATTATAACAAGAATTGACAAGCTGTAAATTGACCTTGTCCTAGGAACCACCATATTTCTCGTTCCTACATGCAGACAATTATCAATCAATCTTACTTTTCTTGGGGAAGTGGGAGTCCTCATTTATTTTATACCATTAAAAATATTAAAATTTTTGGGCAAGGCTCCCTGGCTTTTAAGTAGTGTGGGAGCAGCAATTTTTCAATTTTCAAAAGCCAGGTTTTAACTCTCCAACTTATTTAATGCTGTGAGATTGGTCTCGTCGTATTTTGTGATTAAAATTAATGATCTGGGACTTGCACGTGAATTATTAATGGAGATCAAAATTGTCCAATCACTTAGCCTATGTGTGGAAATGATTTTGCCCCAATTTTTTAATCCAACTTTTGACCGTTGATATGATAGATCAATAAAGCTGAATGTACAACTTTGATTCACAGTTTTTTTCATAGCCCCCTCACATGGGGGTGGGGCCGACAATCAATGCTGTAACTCTAACATGGTTCATGATAGATAGATTTTTGAATGTACAATAATTATTGACTTTACATGAACCATTTTACCAGAATGCCCTTTTGTATTGAAGAATGATGAGAGTAAAAGGATGCATTCGTCATTCTACCTAATTCATTCAAAAATTGCTGCTTTGACCACTAACAATAGCATTGTATAATGGCTATAACGTGGCTAAAAATTTGATAGAAAATCCATCCCGGACCGGTAACTTCATTTCAGCATTTTAGTGACCTTTATCTTTGTCGAGAAATTTGGAACATAATTTATTTGGTTGTGAATTTCAGTTTGTGTTAAATTAGTTTGGTGGAACCAACATAAATTTATTACCTGTTAATTATAATAAACCGTGTAAATGGATGTATGAATAGAAAGGGTAGAAGGCTTCAATATGAAGTTGAATTTCTCTGCTCCCATAACCCAGTGTACCTTTCAATAATGTCAAATCATCCACCACACCAAATATCTGGAACATATACTATTCTTCAATATAAAAAGGAGTACACGACATTGATATAATTTTTAGGGGAATTTTTATAAATGTGTTAAATTTGAAAATTCTAAAAAATTTGTAATTTTCACTTTTGGAGTTCAAGAATGTCAATTTTTTTGGTGGGAAAGGTCCAAATTATCCTTGGTGGCACATTTTTAGGAGCATTTAATGTTTGATTTGAACGTAATTAATGTTATGATGTGATGATTTAATTTAAATATTATAAAAATTGTTTATATGTATATTATATTGAGTAATATGAATTTTGTAAAAAGAGA